CTGAGTCCTTGTTTATATTAGTGAAATATGTAAACAGTTCTTTTTCTCCAAATGTAAGACTTTTTTCTTGGCTGCCCTTCCAGTGTTTATAAAAGCCAGTTATGTAATGACGATTTTTATAATTAAACTGCTATCTAATGCTATCCCAATGGCTGCTCTTGTTACAAAGCTCAGTGCTACTGGGGGCAATTGGCGGTGATGGCATTAGCACAGCTTTTCAGCGTTATTAAAGGCAATGGGACCTCGTAGAGGAAAATTGAGAGAACCTGAAATTAAACAGAGTTCTCATTAGAGAGAATCTCCCACGAGAAAGGAAGTAAAATATTTGGATGTTACAGAGTCTTGGAGGCTGGCAGGGACCCCTGGAGATGGTCCTCTACAGCCCTGCTCAAGCAGGGTCGCCCAGAGCTGGCTCTCCAAGGCTGTGTCCAGCTGAGTTTTGATTGTCTCCATGGATGGAGACTCCCCACCCTCTCTGGGCAACATGTTTTGGTGCTTTTCACCACCCTTAGAGTAAAGTGCCTTTTCTGATATTTAATTCGGTTTCCTGTATTCCAGTTTGTGTCACTGCCTCTTGGCCTTTCAGAGTGGGCTGAGCTGACCAGGCAGTCCCAGCAGGAGAAGGTGTGGGACTGGGAAGTATCATTTCTCCTAAGACGTTTCATAAGACGTGTCTTTGTAGTTTGTTCATAAAACCAGCCCAGACTGCTTTTCATGGTAGATGTCACGCCAGCCCTGCCGGGTCTGGGTGTCGGTTGGGGATCTCCTGGCTGGTGGCACCCACTGGGAGGGCAGTGAGGTCCCTCCTCGGAGAATGCACAATACCTCAGGTGGGGGAGAGCGAGCCCCGAGGGGTGAGGGTGGGTGGGGGTGAGTCCAGGCCAATGGCAGGAGAAGGGGTAAAGATGGCATGTGTTGATAGCGCCCAGGTTAGTGGGCCATCATGCAGGCTATCCAGACACCCATGGGGTGGGAAAGGGACTTTTTGTTGTGAAAGGAAGGAGAGATTGTGGCTATTAAGAGGTGATAGCGGGGAGATAAAGAACAGGGCTGGAGGCACAAACCAGCGGGATGAAGAGACAAAAGACTCCTGATGACTCAGAGAGGTGGGGTGGGAGGGTCGAGCTCCTGAGGGGTCCCGCAGTCACACCCCTAGGTCCTGGTGTGGTCTGCCACCACCTAAGGACAGGTTGGGACAAGTCACGGAACCAGACCACAAGTGCTTCTTTGTAGAAACTGCCGTAGCAAAAATCAGTGCTAGGCCTTCTGGAAGAGGAAGATGTTGAACAAAACCAATTTCGCATTCTTTTCAAGGCTTTCACTCACTAAAGGTGCTGCACATTGTATCTCAGTGGCCTGACGTGGAGCGTCGTTGTGTGTGACATGGAGGAGAAGGTGTACTTGGCTATGAAGTCCTCATTTACATTATCAGCCAGTCACGAGGAACCCAAGAGATGAAGAGATGACCCGGCTTTTGGATAGGCCTTTTTTTTTTTTGCCTCCCTTTGGGAGAAGGATGTTATTTTTTGCTTAATCTTCCACAAATCTTAGGCAAGGTTGCTGCCCCCGTCTTTGTTTCTTCATGTTGGGTATTTTTACAGCTGCAGGCTCTCTCCCCATTGAGATACCAGGGAATGGCCCATGCCCTCAGGGGAAACCTCAGGACTGTCCTGTTATCTGTGCAGGGTCTTCTGCTGATTAAATCACTTGTGTCCTGGCCGGCCTTGATGCAAACAACCAATGCCTCATTATTTACTGGCTTGATTGCTGTTGATTGCGTACTTGGTTATCAACATGGGCCATTCTTGCAGCCATTGCTTTATTGCTTTTTCTGCTGCTGGCACAGTTGTGCCCCATTCTTCGCATTTGTGTTACAAATAGCCAGGGGTTGTCCTCGGGGCTGCAAGAAAGCTGGGCAACATCACTTCAGTACACGGGTCTTGTTGCCTGGGTGCTGGATGGACCTCTTGGACGGGCATGGTTTGGGGCTCAGGAGAGTGGTTAGGAGAGTGTTAACATGAAAAAAAAAAAAACACTCTTGTTTTATAATAACATGACCTTTCCTTCCTATAATTTGAACTTTGCCAGAGCGTTGATACGTTCATTGCTATAATAATAAGCACAGGCTCAGAACAAGATGATCACGTAATATTTTGGGAGGTATCTTTTAGCCTGATTGCATTTTCCCTTCTGAGGTCAAGTCCAAAGGCAGCATGAACGCGATGATCGTCCTGTGTTCTCGCTCTCTGTCACTGAGATCGGCATGACAAATCACTGCAGAAAAGGCCCAGCCCAAAGTTCTGCGCTAATTTTGCAGTAATTACAAAGGAAACTCCTGCAGGGTAGGAGAGGAAAACCAAACCTGCAAATCAGTGTTAGGGCACGCAATAATATTTAAAATCATTCTGCCAAGTTCCTCTCCCTTGCCAATTAAAATCATCAGACATTACACAGACGAAGAACAGCTTCACCCCGGTTGCTGTGAAGTACCTGGGCAGTGCTGTGGCCGCGCCACGCGGTGCCGTTGGTCACCCCTCCGCCTCCTGTTGCCCCCAAGGCGTGATGGAGGAACGGAGCATCCCCGGCACACCCCAGCAGGGAAGGGCTGACTTCTCCTCCTCAGCTGCCACCGTTCCTCACGCCCTGCCCGCCACGCTCCTGCCCCCGGCTGCCGCTTTGGTTGCTGTACGTTGCTCTACCAGATGTATTTCCCAGGTCCAGACGCAGGCTCCGTCAGCCCAGGTGTCCCTTATCTCCACCAGCTTCCTACAGCAGCTGGCCAGGAGCGACCGGGGGGAGAGGACAGCCCCGCCGTGCTGCAAAAGGGAGTGCTTTTCTCGATTCTCTCACTGGTTTGGGGCACCAGTTTGCCGGGCTGCTGGACCTCCTGGCCGTACGGGCAGCCAGGAGGTGGTGCAGAATAAACTTCCCGAGGTTGTGAAGCCACGACACCAGCCCTGCCTCTTCAGGAGTGCACAAGTATCTCTATCATTGCCCAAGGCATCTTGCCATATCTATCAGGAGGAGGAGGGTGTTCCGGCGCTTATTTTCTTCTTCTTCAGCTAATGAATGCAGAAACCCCAAACTTTAGATGGAGCCTACTCCCTCGTGCCCCAGGCGCAGCCTTTGCCGTGCTGGACCTGAAGGGAAGGGTCTTGCCTGCACCCTGGTTCGGTGGTGGGAGCTGGCGTGGGGACACGGCTCCGCGTCCAACAGCGGGGGCACAGCGGCCTGGCAGCGGAGGGGGAGCTGCTCCTTTTATGATCCTCAATGAATTTTTCTGTTTCTTACAACCATTTTTTTGTGTGGTGCTCTCATAGGGAAACTTGAAAGAATCTGCTTTACTCAGTTCTGGATCATTTTTTATTTCGCTAAGCTGAAGCCAGCGAAGGGTGAATGGAGAGCAATAGGTGTGTGAGGTAATTTGGGCTGGAGAGAGAGAAAACGGCTGTTAATGTAATTTGGGAGGGATGGCTGAGTCTTTGCATTTGGAAATGAAGCAGCACGTGGCCTCGGAGTTCCCCGCTGCAGGGGGGCGGTGGCTCTGGTTTTTCCGAAGCTGAACTGTTTTACATTTTCTTCTGCTTTTTTTTTCACAACTTCACAAGGTTGAAGGAAGTTGTGCCAAAAATCATAATAACTGTCTTTCTCGATAATGAAACCAAAGATGTGAATTCAGCCCAAATTATTCCAGTTCTAGGTCTGGCACTACTTGTAACCGCAGAAGTGCTGTGACACAAATCGTGTTGTCATTGATCACAACGTGCTAAAAAGAAGCCACCAAAGAAGACGACTTCCCCCCAAGCCCCAGAGGTGGTGGTGGTGGGGGTGGCAGAGCAGGGGGGGCTGTTACCCCCCGAGGGAGCAGAGCTGGGGGCTCTGTCCTGGCCAAGTTGGGTGCACCTCGCATCACCCCGGTGGGTGAGCCTTCTCCGGTAGTGTGGACTCCCGCTCAGCCGGGTTTACCCAACTGGGAGTTCTCCGGGTGAGGTCTCTGTTAAAGCGTCAACAGCCATGGACAGCGCTGGGACGAAGCACCCCAGGAGCTGCTGGGGGTGGTACCCACGCCATCCCTACTCCCCGCTGCGCACGTGTGCGTGCCTATAGCCTCTCCTCGGTGCTATTGTTCTCCCTCGACCTGCTGGCCTCGCTCCTCCTGACGCAGCCCAGGACACCCTTGGCCACCTTGTCCCATGGTCAACTTTCTGCCCAGCAGGACCTTCTCTGCAGAACTGCTTTCCAGCGGGGCGGCCCCAGCCTGTGCCGGTGCCTGGACTTCTTCCTCCCCAGGGACAGGACCAGAGCAGGGCTGTTGGCAGCCGGGTCTGGTAGTGCGGGTCCTCGGTGTCACAAGCAAATTGACCGAGTGGATTCTTAAATGTGGTGGGTAACAGATACTCTGTCAGAACCTCTGTTGTAGAGGCTTTTGGACTTCCTCTAGGAATATTTTTTTTTATAGGGATTGTGTAGTATGTGCTGAAATAATTAAAATAATTTTTAAAAACTCGCGTGGATTTGATGTTCGAAAGTCTTTTTTACTGATAGTGGATCCAAGCACTTGCTAGTTGCGTGGAGATGTGACAGAGGTGGAGAGCCCAAGCGACGGTCTCTGCGTAGGGAGGCGAGTGCCTGCCTGGCTGTGGGCAGCAGATACAGCGTGTGCGGCAGCAGCAGGAGAAAATCCGTCTACTTTTCCTATAAATACGCTTGTCTTAGCTTGAGAGGATCACCTTAGAGTTTGGGTTGAACTCACAGGTAATTTGGACTTTTCTGCTTAAATTCCCAAGGGTTCAGTCTGAACTCGCTTTGGTTTTTTGAACATGAGCCCTTTCTAAGGGGAACGGGGCCAGGAGCTATTCGACTGGTTTCACGGCGGTCTCGGAGCAGTCGGCCCTGGGTAGTTCTTAATCATTCTCTGTGTACGGTGACTCTGGTACAGCCTCTGTGAAACAAAAGGGTTTTTCTTAACGTGTGTCATACGAAGGTCTTGCCTTCGAGGGATGTTTCCAGTGCCTGACATCGGTGTGTCGGCGCTGCGGCGTTGGTCTGCGGCCATCGTGGTGAGTCATGTGTCGCCGCACGGCAGTGCCGTAGAATCCCAGCATCCCAGGCTGGTGGGGGCTGGAAGGGCCCTCTGGAGCTCCCCCATCCCACCCCCCGCCAGAGCAGGGGCACCTCCAGCAGTGGCACAGGACGGCGTCCAGGCGGGTTTGGGATGGCTCCAGAGGGGGAGACTCCCCCACCT